AGAGTCAGATTCTGTGTTACTTTAGAAATGAAAACACAAAATCAAGAACATTGTTAAAGAACAATTCATGATCTGGTGAGCTTTAAATGAACAATTTAAATAATGCATAAAATAAAATAGAAATTCATTATTCTCAGCAAAAATCTAGAAATCCGCTTTCACAAGTATCTATTCTGATCTTCCTTCATAGAGTCAAGTACAGAAAAATATTTTTCAGCACACAATAATACTAATCTTCTTAGATTATTTTTCTATTTTATTTGTGTTGCAAATATTTTCTTCATTTTTCACTCACTTGTTTAGTTGCCGTGGCGCTTGAAAAATCTCCGCGTTCGATTGGCATCACACTCTTACAGGTTTTAAGTCTCGCTAGAATACTTCAAACGCTTTCTATTACATAAAAACGAAAAAAAACCACTTGTCAACTGGCTTTCATTCATCGAAAGAAAAGTCAGAATTGAAAAGAGCCTAGCTCTAACAAATATTCTACAAAGTTCTTTTTTATGCATAATTGGAACAATTCCAGAATTGTTGCAAATTTTTGTACGTTGTTCAGAATTTCTTTCTTAAATTTTTTCGGACGAAATAAAATCATCGGACGTTTAGTTTCGGATTCTCTCTTAAGTACAGTTTTCAAACAGGGCTACTTTCACTGTTTTTTCAATGAATCATAATACGATAAAACAGTTTATATTTATAACATAAATAAACGAATCAAATTTTGGTTCTCGAGCCTCTATAATGGCGTCCATGTTATCCCTTAATTCGTTAGAATCCCTTAAACGGTGCCGACAAAAATTGTTTTAAACGCATTATTTTAAAGCATCTATACATTTGTAAATAAAGATGCTGAATCATTGAAGAAAAGAAAAAAATGGCGTCTCATCATAACTATTCTTTTATAAGATTATTCTATAGAATCAGAAAAAAAACAATAACCTATCGATTGAAATCGTATAAATGAATATTTTCATATTTTATTTATATTAAATAAAGTATAATTATTTAAAATGGGTTGCGCAACAAGTCAAGACGAAAAACGACAAAAAGAAGTAAGTAATTTAATCGATTATATTCGAAAATTTTGTTTATTATTTGATTATTGTTTGATTTCAGAAATTATTTAATAGTAAGATTTATATTAAACAAAAAAAAATAATAACGCCTTTATTTGATTAACAAAACACATTTCTAAAAAAAAACAAATAATTTCTAAAATGCTTTTCTAATCATTTGTTTTCTTTTAATAATAATTGAAAATATGATTTAATACGAATTTATTTATTTATTCGTTTATAGTATAGCAAAGCACTTGATCGTTTGATAAAAGAAGATGCTGAACGTGCAGCTAAAGATGTTAAACTTTTATTACTCGGTATGTCAAATAGTATTAAAATAAAAAATATATTTTTGAAAATATTTTTACTCTTATATAAATATAGGTGCTGGTGAATCGGGTAAATCAACAATTGTTAAACAAATGCGTATTATTCATCAGCATGGTTATACTAAAGAAGAATTTGAACAATATCGTCCAGTTGTTTATTCAAATACAATTCAATCATTAGGAGCTATTATACGAGCTATGAATATGCTTAATATACAATTTGCATCCGTTGAACGTGAAGCTGATGCTCAACGTGTACTTGAAGTTATACAACGTATGAAAGATACAGAACCATTCAATAGTGAATTACTATCATCAATGGAACGTTTATGGGCTGATGCTGGTGTTCAACAATGTTTTTTACGTAGTAATGAATATCAATTAAATGATTCGGCACAATATTTTCTTGATCAATTATATCGAATTGGTTCACCAGATTTTTTACCTAATGAACAAGATATATTACGAACACGTGTTAAAACAACTGGAATTGTTGAAATTAATTTTTCATTTAAAAATTTAAATTTTCGATTATTTGATGTTGGTGGACAAAGATCAGAAAGAAAAAAATGGTTTGTTTTTAGTTTTTATTTTATTTTATTCATAGGTGAATCTAAAGGTTTATCGATTGTTTTTGTATAATATAGGATTCATTGTTTCGAAGATGTGACCGCTATTATTTTTTGTGTGGCACTTTCTGAATATGATCAAGTACTTTATGAAGATGAATCAACTAATCGTATGCATGAATCGTTACGTTTATTCGATAGTATTTGTAATAATAAATGGTTTGTTTTTCGTTTTTTTTCTTAAATCATTTATATTAACAAAAAAAAAAAAAAAAACATAACTCTCAATTTTCTATTTTTAGGTTTGTTTATACGGGTATAATATTATTTTTAAATAAAAAGGATTTATTCGAAGAAAAAATCAAACGTTCACCATTAACACTCTGTTTTCGTGAATATACAGGACCAAATGAATATGATCCAGCTGCTGAGTATATTCAAGCACAATTTGTTGCTAAAAATAAATCAACACAAAAAGAAGTTTATTGCCATCATACATGTGCAACAGATACACAAAATGTGCAGTTTGTGTTTGATGCCGTTACTGATGTAAATATCTTTTTTCTATTTATATTATAAAAATAAATCTTAATTGATATCCGATTTGTTTTCATAGGTTATAATTACATTAAATCTTCGTGGTTGTGGGTTATATTAACATTATGCTCAAAAAAAAAAAAAAAAAGAAAAACATCAAACGATCGGAACGTTTTCTTTATATTTTTCTTCTCTATTAGCCTTTGTTTCTTTGGAAAAAAAGACTTCAGTGACTCTTCTTTTTCTTATGACTTTTCTAGTCAGGTTAGATGTATACACAGTGAAAAAAAAAAACAAGAAATAACAAATTTTATGATTAGCACAAAAAAAGAAATTACTCAATAATAATAATAATAATACTCTATTCCATATATCTTTCTCTTATATCTTTTTTTCTCTTTTGTTTGTATATGTTGTCAGATGTGTGCATGTGACAGTTTGTTTTTCTTCTTCTTCTTCTCCTTTTGTTTGTCTTACTAGTCAATCTATTTTGCTTTATTATTAATATTAAACATATACAACACGAAAAGTTATCAAATTCAGTTTTTTTTTCTTTTTGTTTGCTTTTTGTATATTAAATTAGAAAAGATCTGTATATGTCTTTATATATTTCAACGAAAAAGAGTATTTCACAAACAAAAAACACATATATATATATATATACATGTGTAATTACTTCGTATTAAAATACAAACGATTTTTGTTTACTATTATATTATTTGATGCTGACTAGTCTTTATTTACTATAATTATGTATGCGTCGTGTGTTTCTTCTTTGCTCACAATCGTTTTTTTTCTTTTGACACAAATAAATCAATTTCGAATACAAGATTACTTTTTGTTTTATTTTATTTTTCTACTTTTTTGATTTAAGCTTTTAGAATACATAGTACATGATGATGTTTAACAATAGTTGGTTAATTTAAAATATTTTATTATTATATCTGATTTATAGTTAAGGGCTTGTACATATAGAAGTTTAACACGAACTTGAGCATAGAGAGTAACATCCAATAAATAACTATGAAATCTATAAATAAGAATAATAATTCAGATATTAATTAGTCATTGTCAAATTTCAACTGTTTTCTTACGAGTCAATGCTGCAGTTTTCTATGTCTATATATTTAATAATAATGAATGATTAAATACTTTAACACATGACTATAACACAAGATTCACTGTTTGTCTAATTATTAAATTATTATTTATGATTTTTGATAACTAATATAAACTGTCAAAATCATGCAATTGGAATTATTAGTGAAGTTATCTTAATTAAAATAGAAGATAGATTGAAGAGAAAATAAGGTCTAGATAGACATTACATGTAGTTTTATTCTATTGATTCTTGTTATATGTTTGCATGCAGAATAAATACACTTTAATGATTATTTTTCCTAAGTAATACATAGTGTTGTCTAACAACAATAAGGATGAAGAAAAAAATGCATTGATAATTTAAGTTATATTTGAAATATTAATAATCAGTGAGTTATTTTCTTTAAAATTTATAATTCTATAGTTACAGATTAATATTGATAATAGTATAAACTTGAAAGTTCTAGATTTCCCAATAGATCAATGTTCTATGTATAGTATGCATGAATATTTCATATGTATGAGAAAAGATGTCTTCAATTAAAAAATAAAACATTACATAATGTTCTTTTGGGAATTAACAACAAAACAAAAATACAATAATGATGAAATATTCAAGTATTAACTAACTAAATCATTACATTTACGTCTTAGAAAATAAAAATAGTTCGACATTATTCTACCAGTTAATGTTATCTGCTGGTGTGTGTTAAAGAAAAATTCTGCAAGATTATTTCTTCAAGAATTTCACTTATACCATAATGAGCTATGAGTAAGCTGAACCTTTCTTTTATATGAAATAATGGAATTTAAAGAATAAATTTTGTCTAAGATTTTTTGAAATAATGCACTACTTAGACAAAATAGAAATAAAAAACAAAGCTTTTGTTTTATTTATAATGAGCTTTAAAGGATTACCTCCAAGGTTACACAAAAGCATTACTTATTTCAAGAACAGATTAATCAAATACAAATATATTTACTTCGTTCTTTATTTCATCGCCAAAGTATTATTTTACCCTTAATGCAATTCAATTATGCATATCCTGCCCAATTTGATTATAAGCTCGAAAGTGAACATATGTAAACACATTGAAGCATTTTATCAAATCTTGCGATAAATCTTTATTAAATTTATTTTGACGCAAAAAATAAGGATCTTGTTCGATTTCATTTATTAAATTATATCTGACAGAAACATGATTTCGTACACTTAAATGATATTGTTCATCAAAAATCAATTCAATGACTAGCGTCAGTTTCTTTTATTTAATGTTTTCTTTTAATTTGCATAAACGCTGTGAAAACTGTTCTGTTTACAAACATAAACATAAGCACAAATATGAGTTCCTGAGAGTAAAAGAGAAAGCAATAAAACGTATGTCATACACGATTCGGTGTATGTATGAGATTCTAATGAACAAGAAAAAAATAGCAAATTGATCAATTGAAGAGAAATTTAGAAAAACAAAAAAACAACACATTAACAAAAACAAAACACGATTTGCATAATAAGAAGATGAAAAATTAGATAACACCTTCGATTGAATCAGTATCCAAATTGAGTATAAGAATTTTAATAAATAACATTTCTTTTCTTGCATTTTCAAATATAACTTTTGTATCCTCGGAATTACATCGAAGGATATTTGGTGCAAATACCATCGATAAATTATTCACATCCATTTTTGTATAAACAACATTTTCCGCTGTAGAAAATATCTATAGGAAAAAGAAAAGAAACTTTCTTTCTTGAAAAAATCATCAAACAACAATAGTTTACTTGAAGAAAACGAATAAGATATGTTAAAACGATTCGATTTATGTCAGGTAATGAATGTACCAGACGTATACATGTTTCTGCTTTATCACAGTTCAATATGCATTGTTCATAAAACATCGTTGGAATTAATGGTTCAGCTAATTCACGATACCAAAGTTTTAATAATGATGCTGGTAAATGAGCATCTTCAAGTGATGGGAGTTGCCATTGATCACATTTTACTTTTAATGCATTGACACTATCTAAATCACCCGGTACTCTAAAAAAAAGGACATTTTTTTTCGAGAAAAAAAGAAACTAAAATTCAAAATAAACATGTTAAAACTTACCGAAATATTCCTTCAGTTTTTGCACCATTTAATTTTAATACTTCTTCAGATAATGTTGTTTGAATCCATGGTAAACGTTTTTCAGGAAATCGTGTTCTTTGCATAGCCATTACTTCTTCAAGAGTACTACCAAACATGGAAGGAAAATGAATTGTATGCTGAAAAACAATATACAATTGATATATGATTAAGTATCAATAATGTGAGACTAATAAGAAATCGTCTCAAGATTTAACTTATTTGAAATTTCATATTCATATCAAACATAGATATCGATAATGTCAAGATATTCTAAACTTTGCTTAAAAAGTTTTGGCAATGCTTTTAATCTCTAGGAAAATATTAAGAAAAAAGATATGAATTTGAAACTTTATACTTTTAAATTTGTTGATAAAGAAATCTGACTATGTTAAAGATAACAAAAAATTTTTTTATAGCATAGTTGTTTGTTCTGACAAGTTTCACATAATAGAGAGATAAAGTATGATTGTGACCTACTTCTTTTCAAAAGAATTTCATGTAGTGACATTCAATTGTTTAATTTTTTTATCAAAATATACTACTAGAAATTATCAATTCTTCTCCTACTAAGGGAACGATTTCTTATGCGTTTTATCGGTTTTACACATACAGTAGGTACCAAAATTCTTCATTGAAGTTCATTTTCTACTCTACAGGAAAATAAAAATTCCTATCACATTCTTCGAGATACAATCTCCTAGAAAACCAAAACTCTAGTTTTTCAATATTTACAACACGTAAACATAATTTTGTTTAGACTACATAGAAAAAATTATTCTCTACAAAATGAAACGTTTCTCCAGTTTTTTATGATGTTTTCTTGGCTGAGATAAAGCAATATTACAGAAACCCCTAAAGTTTTTTTTTTCTATTATTTCTTATAGAAAAAACATTGTTGACTCTTCACTAAAATTGCCGTATCTCAGCTAACAAAAGGAGTACAGAACGCTAAGATGTCTCATTTTATAATGAATCATTTCCTCTATTATTCTAAATAAAATTATACTTAGATATTCTAAGTACTGAAAAACTAAAATTTTGATTTTCTAAATACTCGATTAATCTAATATCAATTCTTATTTTTTTTTATATTCTTGTTGCAAACAATTTTCTCTTTTCGAATCACTATTTGAGTTCTTTCAAATGCTTCGAATAGCAGGAAAAATAAACTACTGAATAATATTCATCTCCAAATGGTTAGTGGCTGATTTTTGTTCTCGTTCATTTATTTGTAATCATATGTATGAGCCTTTTAATTTACCTTTGAAAGCTCAATTTCTTCAAAAGTTGGTTTTTTTAAACCTCTTTTTGGACCAGTTTGAAGAATTTTTTCTAGACGTTTACGACAAACTTTAGCATATATTGATATAGGCACTTCAAATGTATCAGTATTTCCAGTTGTTTGTATTGATATATAATGTTCAAGGATGATTTGAAATTTACTTGATGGTGGAAAGAATGAAAGACAAATTGCTAGAAATAAAAATCAATAAATCAAAGAAAGAAAAGTATTTTGTTTTTTGGTTGTTTTACCAATCAATTCCCAACCACGTTGTAAACTTTCAGCATTATAATTATAACTTGTTTGTTTAATTAATTGTAAATAAAGTTCATCGCGTATGGACGGTAGACTCCAACCTTTTGTTGTTAATTCTAAACATGTATTTAATGATGCAGTTTGTTTTGATTTTCTATCTCCCATATATATTTGTATAAGTTTAAATATATTTGGTGCTTCTTTTCGAAGTATTTTATCTAATGTACGTAATAATGGTTTTTTTAAACTTTCTTTTGTCCATGATAATAAATTATCTTGTGTTAAACGTCTACTAAATAAACCTCGTTTATGTGTATTTAAATTTAACATATCATTAAATAATATAGTAG